CCCCAAAACCCCAAAACCCCAAAACCCCAAAAAATGTTATTAAATTTTAGAGAATTATGGAGAAGAAAATAAAATTTGGACATAAGCATAACAGGATCTTTAGAAGAGGAATGATCAATACTTCCCTCAGGAGAAATCACAGGAAGTCTATCGAAGAACAGAACTTTCATAGAAGTTGACAAGATGGGTAAGAGGATTAAGTTTGAGATGTAGAGAAGCACTTAAAAAGACAAAAAGAGTTAAATTCATCCATACCAAGAAGTTAAAAAAGATCGAAGGAATCACTCATTTTACCTCTCATGATTCTTCATGTGGTAAGCTTTTAAATCTGTATTACATCAATTATTTTGGGTCTGATAAGCGAGATTACTATAGGAAAGACACCCAGCTCTGTATCATTCCATAACAGAACAGGTAGGAGCACAATGAGAAGATCAATAAATTACGATCCTTCTACTGGGAGAAAAATTAGCTCGATAGCTAATAGCACAAATAGAAGTTATTCGAAACCTCACGAAGATGGAATAACTAGAGCTGGCAGCATTGTATCTTCTCATCGACACTTTTCTTCTACAAGAGTATTGTATTTTGAATAAAGTGTAGAAATCTGAAAATACAACTCGAAATGAGATAATTCACCCTAAGAAATTCTCTCAAGTAATAAATAACTTTTTCAAATAAAGTAGAGTTGAATGACTTTCTCCATTTTAAGTAAGCCAAGGCACTACCTTTAGATATAAGAAAGAAAAAAGCAAGAGAGATAAGCTTAAGGAACTCTTGAGCAAACATTACACTTCTAATCAAATAATCGGTCTGCTCAGTATCTGCCATGAAAGAACAATTAAGAGAGGTACAATTATTAAGGAAAGGGGCCAAGAATTCACCTTTGCTGACACCTCTTCTAAATTTTGGCAAGAAAGTACCAGCTCTATAGCAGATTCCGATCAGAATCTGCCCTTAAAAGAGGAACCAGCAGAGGTATTTGTTATAAAATCAGGCCTAATGGGACTCTATGTTTATTCATATGGGGATAAATAAGCTCATGACCACCTATTCGACACAAGAAGTTGTTGGAGAATGGAACTACAATTTTCTTTACTCTAAAGCAGCACAGTACGAAGCAATCACTGATATTGACATTCTCTACTTCAACAAGATAGATTATGAAAAAGTAATGTGAGAGAGTAAGACTAAGAAATACCAAAGCAATTTTGAATTCTTTTAATAAATTCAGACAATTCAGGAAACTAGATGAACACAAAATGAAGAAATTATGATCAAGTGCCAAAGAAAAGAAAATGAATCAAAACATTAAAGGAGTACTGTGTGGTCCGTTAAGTTTTAGCATAATAAAGAAGAATTTGTCACTCTAAGCGGCTGTAAAGCAGACTGCCTCTATATTGTCATAAAGGGGTCTTTCCGAGCAGAAAGATATGTTAATATTGAGCATGAGAATTTATGGCCGGTTGAGTCCAGAGTTTGGAAATCTACCAAAATCAGACGAAGAGTAAGTGCCATTTAACATGATAGGTCCTATTCACTTCAAATATTCTGAAGCCAAATACTATCTTTGGCGAACGAGAGTTGGCTAATGGATCAGAACACACTCTTAGCATAGTTGCTAACTCTCAAGACTCTATTTTACTATTTATCGAAAAAGATAAGCTTGAATTACTTATGGATATCAAAGACCTAGTAACTGAAAAATCAATAAAATTTCCAACAGAGAAGGAAATCTCACAGAAGATACAAGTAATCGAGAAGTCATTGCACATGAAGAAGATATCCTTCCTGAACTCAACAAATACAAATTTCCTTCCTTCTTCTTTCAGGGACTTTTACATGGATAATGAGACTCTCAAGTTATACCCATGGGTTAGAAATATTGATCGTAAGTATAAGCAGAAACTAGCCCAAAAGATAAGCCAAAAACCTGAGGGACAAATAAAAGCAATGAAATTCCCTGTAGTCGGAATCGATGAGAAATATCTGAACCTCGAGAAGTACATCCAGGCACAAAAAATCAAAGAAAAAGCAATGGACCAGATCTCAGAAGATATCATCATTGAACTCTGAACTAATTAATGTATTTTCAACTAGTTTGTCTAAAAAAGGGGTTTTGGGGTTTTGGGGTTTTGGGGTTTTGGGG